CCTTAGATTACGTTGCCCCTGAAGTCAGGTTGCTAGAGGGAGAAGGTAGTAGTGATACAGAAATGACTGGAACAAATGAAACATACACTGAGTTGACAAGTTTCCACTGCATGCTTGATTCTCATCTTCAGTTTGGAACACGTCTCGCATATTTGGTGCTGACTCCGCTTATGGAACCGCAAGCATTGTCGCCAGCGCTGGCAAACACTAAAAAAGGTGGACCGTGCAGCAGCTGGCTCACCATTGTCACCATGCGTTTTCATGTACGAGACGTACAACAAATACACGTTGCTCCAGCTCCCGTGGGGCAATTCACGCATGGGAAGTGTCTGTGGATTTCGATTCCAAAGCACCTGTGATGTTGCGCCAACTAAACGGTTGTCGATCAGTCTCTCTAAAAGCTCTTGCCGCAGATCTTCCCCTCCTTTGGCCAAGTTGGACTTTGATGCAATCCTCAACAGTTACATAATCACACAGGTGGCCAGTCCATGTTTTTTGTTTAATGTTCATTCTGTTGCTAGCAAGTTGCGCTGTGGACATTGGTTCAGCCGCTGACCAGTACAAGTGAACAAAGAATGCCTCCACACTTGCTGTCTTCTTGGCAGGCTGTGCGCATGGCCCTGAGATGGATGAGCGTTGCGGAGTGGCAGGAAGGGGCAGCTCACACTCACAAGTTCTGTCTAAGAAAAATGACAATGATAGTGAGTACAACTAATTGGACAGGTATCCACCCTTGCCAGATACGGATCTTAGATCCTTTCCTTGGAATACATGCCTACATCTTGTCAAGCGATTCTTGCCGATTCCGAGCAAGTAGGCCCAGGTCTCCCGGCATACCTTGTGTCCTGCCAAGACTGGCAACAACAAAACAATGGATCAATATGAGTCAATTACAGTTCAGTAGCCAACACATTGATTTTGGGATACTTTGGGTACCGACCATACACCCTAACTTGGAGACAGTCCTTGAAGGAACCATTCTTTTCTCCGATTTCCAGCTTCATGCTGAAGCCCCCAAAGAAGGCGATCTTGGATAGACTTGCCCAGTGACCAAAATGCCACACATAGGCGCAGTACGATCCGGTATGGTGCTCGGCATTGGCATGAGCACACAGGTTTCTCCAGTGCACGCTTGAGACGTTTCCCAGACGTGCCACCCTTTGCATAGGTGGTTGACACCCTTTTGGAACTGTGTTGCAATGACGCCAACCGTTCATATGTCAAATCAACAGAACCACATCCATAGGGCTCAGAACTATCACTCTCATCTTCTGAAGCACTGGAATATTCAGAAGATTCGGACTCCGACTCTGTGTCCTCCGATGAAGACCTTGGGTTGCATGAACCCCCAAAGCAATAAGGTTGGAACATGTTGGAATTATACACAATCATCGTTCTTTGTTGTTTGCAACCAGAAGACTCTACATCGTCCCCTGTAGAGCCAGATGATGAAGTTGCACTGAACCGCCCCAACCCACTTGCACCACCCTCATCATCCCACCGGCCAAGGATAGGCATGGGACAGCCGGTGCAAAAAGATGCAAGAAGAACTAGAACATGTTATTTGCTTGTGGTGAACCGCATATATAGCCCCCATGAAACCTTCACCGCACAAGAACCATTGGTGCTTGTTCTGTCAAAGAGTCATGAGATGTCATATATAGCCGCCAAGTTCTTTGGGGGTGTTCAGTCCATAGAAGTAAACCAACATCAATGGCTGCAGTCTACAAAGCATTCAGGAATGCCCTTTCCTGGCAAGCGGGTGGCATTGCAAAGTCAATGATGCTGCCAAGCGTTTGATTGTTTTTCTCATCCACTCCATTGCGGAAGCGCAAGCTGAGAACATCCTGCTAAACTAAATTAGCGCACTTCACATTGCAAGACCTTCCGGTTTACATGCTGACAGTGCTGTGCATAGAAGGGCCAATACGCACCTCAAATTCATGGCGTTGCCGCCAAGGCTGTGCAATACCTCAAGCAAGTTTCATAGTAAGAACACTTTAGAACTATAAAGTTGGTGGAAATTCAACCTTGATCAAGCAACTAGTAGACACCCATTCAACCCGGAAACAGGTTCGCTGACTGAATGCAATCGAAGCCGGTGAATTGGCATCCCCATCAAAGCCATGACTTCACGGCCGATGATGTAACGGCCCTTGGTGGTAGAGATAAATTTTCCACCAGGCCTCAGCCAGAAAAACCATAAGTGAGAAGTCAAAATCAGTGTTGCTGGCTTTTGCTGTAGAACATTCTGTTCTAGGAGACACACGTTAGGCAAGGTAGGTGTTGGGAATCATCCTTCAACAGCGGCATTTGGTTCACAGACTGGCTGGTGTTGGCAACGCTGATTGAACCGTGTAGTGCCAGCAACATATCCAGAGCCTCCCAGCGGAATTGTCAGTCTCTTGGCCCATGTGGTTGGGAATGGTTGGGATATAGCACACCCCGCCTGACTCTCTCTACGGCTGGTGAGTTGTTTGGCAGCTTTGGGATATTTCTTGCTGAACCCATTCAAGGACTTCTTGAAAGAGACCTGCATACAGTGCTCCAAACCAAAAGAAGGGAAGCCTATGAAGCACCACTCGAAATGGCCTTGTGTTCTTTCGCCCAATCTCTGTGTTTTTGGATCCACTTGGCATTCCTGTCTATCTGCCTGGGACCATCAACCCGCACATGCTCATATGTTTTCCTGGATGTGGCACGCAATTCCCAAACTGAACAGTCAAGTTGCCTTTTTGCAGCTCGACAGCGGAGCCTTGTCCGCTTAGCCATGTCCTTCTGAACTGCCGGGTGATTCTCTGGAAGCAGCAAATCTTTCCTCAAGCTGCCGCAGTGGAGTGGTTGGGGAGAAACGGAGAAGCTGACACACGCACACACACACAAGGGCGCATTCAGGCAAAAAATAATTCAACTGGGACTTAGGGCAAGCATCCATGCAACTGTAGTTTTTCTAATGTGCATTGACTTCAACTTCTTCTGGACGTAATCAAAAAAGTCTACACCTAGTGCCTCATCAGTCATTGCAGACTCCTGGATTAGCAGTGCATAGATCCTTCTGCGGGAGATCGGAGCCCCGTAGGTTGGCCTTGCTGGGAAAGAAAGTGGGGAGAAAGAATGGGAAAGAATGCAAACAACAAAGCACTCTTTTAACCTTTCAACATACATTGTCTGCGTTGAAAATGCAAGAAAGCAGCGGGTTCATAGTCACATACACCCTCCTGTACCTTGGGAGTGAAAGAAACCCGTGAATGTGCAATGCAATCCACACACTGCAATGCATTTTGAGCAAGGGTACCCTGGTAGGTTCTTGTCGAGGAAGTTGCCGACTAACTCTGCTACTGCTGCGAAGCCCATCACGTTTTCCAAGATAGCAACCTGAGAAGTGGCGGTGGTTCTGCTTTGAACATATTGTTGAACATATTGTTGAAACTTTGACAGCTCGCCCCCTTGAAGCAAATTATAGTCCAAGCGGCTTTCGGTCGGGTCACCTTCATGCGGCGGACACATGCAAACAGCTGTTTGCTGTTTGGATCTTTCAGGCAGAGGCGTTCCCCAAGGAAACTATACGGAGTGCAGGGGAACCCTGCCAGGTACACAGATACCTGTGGCCGGTTGGATGTAGCCAAGAGACAAAGTCTGCGCCAGTAGTGTGTCGATGCACAACTGAAGTCTTTCTTACATTACAAAGCAAGGCACTTTGCCAATGAGAGGCGAGTTGTCCTGCTTGAAGACCGAAGCTGTGAGCCTGAATTGAAAAAGGTGTGATGCAGGTAGGGTGCCCAACATGGATCAAAAATTCTCAAGAAGAATACTCTTGAAAGAAAACATTAAGACTAAGCACTGTCGACTATCCATATTCTCCTCCAAGAACATTCGCTTTCGCGGGTTGATCTCAGAAGCAGCCCTTAGTTTCTGGCACAGATCTCTTGGATAGAAATCAACATTGGGAAGTTGTTGCAAAGCAAATGGAGCCTAGAGGCAAATGCTGCAAGATCCCTTTCTTGTTGGCTGCTTCCACCAGCATTTGGAGCCCCATGTATGGGACATCGGCTCCCGAGCCTGATGCCCGACATGAGCTACAGATTTGTGAAAACAATGATTGGACAAACATCAACGGCCCACTTGCAAGCAAGATGCAATCTGACACATAGTTCAGATTGCCACCCGGCCAGGTTTCAAACCATGAACTCAAACCTTAGAAAGAAGGAAAGATGGAGAGAAACCTGAGCCACAGGAAATCCAGGAGATATGACAGTGAACCCCAACTTGCCATGCCATGCAACCAGAAAGACGGAGAAAAAGTTCTCCCACTTCAAGGTATTCCTCCAACTTCTTCGGAACTGGGACATCTGGGATTTCCTGAAAGGGTTAGATTTAGGGATCCAATATGATCGAATTGTTACATGTGTTTCTTCAACAATCCCTTGCACTGCCCTGGCTCCTCAGAATCCGATGAAGAAGATTCTGAGCTTGAGGATGATTTCACCATGGCTGCACAGCCAGGGCAACACCTCTTTGGGCCATAGTGCTGCTGGGGACCGGCCTTTGAAAGCAAAGACTCACTCCTGTTTTGGATAAGCCCCACTCTCTGTTGGACAAGTCTTATAGTAACCGCTATGTTTGCCGGTCACTGTGTGGATGGAGGATGGATCGTTAGTTCTTTTCCCCGTAACGCCATGATGTACCCCAGACACTCCATGTATGGCATCTCTTCAACCATACCATGGAAGGTAGATATGCCATTTCCCATGGAGTGTTTGGGCGCCACACTCCCACAATCTCGTTACCCTCAATTTTTGTTGCGCCCGAACCATCAGTCTTGCTACTGTTTGTTGGAGCAAGCACATGCTGGTGCTCAGGGGCTTGGCATCCTCGATCTTTGAAACGCCAACCTCTCGTGCACATGGTTTTGTACATCCATTGTCTACCAAAATCAGAACCCCGCTCTACTCTCACCACACTGAACCTTTGCCTGGCCAGTTGCTTGCTTGGTCATGCAGGCTGCCGTGCGGCAGAAGCTGAGCTTTCCGAGTACCAAGCACAACTACGCGCTGGCGAAGCTGCTTCGAGCTCAGATGGTAGGTTCATATCTTGAAAATGCAAGGCACTCATCAAGTGTTGTCGAGGACCTGGAGACATGATGTCACAGCAGTTCATGTATAGACTTGGACCAGATCCTATACTTTGGATTTTGGGGTTTGCACGTTGACTTCAAAGTCTCAAGCCAAAGATGCAGGATTGGATGTGAGTCATGTGTGAATCCTGTTGGCCCTCAGCTGGTCATTTTTGCTGTCAGTGTCACCGTTTGCCCAGCAGAGCTCCGGTTTCTTTCGCTCGCTCGCCTCTGGTGTCACCCGCACCGCGAAGTCTGCCCAGGAGTTTGCTGCCGAGCTGGAGTCTTTGGCCACCCGACGTCCGGAGCTCAGTGGAACGCCAGTGGGCGCGTACCGTCGCGACGGGGGAGCGCCGGCGTGCGCAGAGCGCGCACGCGCGGAGTACGGGTTGGAGCGTCGGAGCCGTTCCTTTTGGGTGGCCCTTGGGGTCGGTGCTTCACATCTTCAGAAATTTAGAAGGAGTCCGACACCCATATCTGCGAGGATAGATCAGAGAAGCCGGTCAGGTGGGGGTGGAAAAGACTCCACAAGCCATTCAATCCATTGGTGCAGCTTGGTGAGGTCGGAGCTTGGAAGCGTCTCTGCGAGACTCTTCCGCAACCCTAGCTGATGCTGAAGCAGTGTGGTTACCAAGTGAATACCAGCGACGCTTTTCGAGAGAGACCGGAAATAGAAGGCATTAGAGACGTTTGTTCTTTTGTTGTTAAAACAGGTCTTCGAATTCAACTGCAGAACAAGTACTCAAAAAAGGCAACATCCGCTGCGAACATTTAAAAACTGTACTATGAACAAAAAGTACAGGTTGGAAGAAACATACATTGTTGGATCACGTTGGTAGTTTTAAACAGTATGAATTCCAGTATGTTACTACGAAAACAAATGGATTGTTGAAGACCGGAAATCCTCAGACCAGTCCATTGAGTCCATCTTCGGGCGCAGGAGGTGGCCGAGACTCGCATGCAGAGTCTGGGTTTGCGAGCACAGCTGGAGGCCGTTTGGTAGTCCGATGAAGCAGAGGTAGTGATGAAGCCAAACTATTCTTCCCCAAGGCCTTCTATATATAGCCAGTGTATAAAGTGTGTAGTATACTATACAAATATAGAATCAAATAGACGGTATATATCTAAGTCAAACCCAGAAGAAGCAGAAGAAGCTGGTGGCCTTGTCATTCGGCGTTTGGAGGACTGGAATGTTGTCACCTTTGAAGGTTCTGGAAGCTGCCCGGGATGAAATTGCTGCGCAAGAGCACCAGGCTAAGGGCTCCAAAGTTGTAACAGAGTGTTTGTGTCGGTCTATGTGAATATACAGTGGCATCCACATCCAAGTTGTTTAAGATGATAGAGCGACACATTGGTTGGAGATACTGAGGCTAAGGCTGACTGAATATGCATTGAACACGCGGAGTGCGCATGTTAATGACCTCCCAGTCCAGATGAAGTACTCGCCGTTGGCGCATTACCAGACACTGTGGTGTGGGGCGAAGATTGACCATTGTGCCCTAGGGGAATTGTTTGATGGCCACGGTTTGGCAAACTGGTTCGTGCTTTGGAAGATGGATTGACCAGCGTCAGAGCAGTCGTACGTTGCATCCTCCAAACATCGTTTTTGGCACCAAGTTCCTTGGATTGGGCAGGCCAGCATGCAGCAGCGGGAAGAGGCCGGGCCTGGGCGAAAAGAATGACTCCCATCGTGCTATGAGCCGATTGATCGATCACATATCACACCCTCATGTCATGCTCGCATGACATAGGCATGTAATAAAAGAACGATAAGCAGAGTGCAAGCTTCTGAATACTTCAGGTATGCCCAAGAAACACCTTCTCTCCCGTTCTTCCATCCTGTTTGCGTTCCGGTTGCTGTGTCGCCCACAGGTGAAGCGGCTGGAATCCTTGGCTGCGAACCTGGCATCAGAGGCCGGGGCGAACTCGGCTCCAGAGTGACTGGTGTTTGTTTCCAATGTGTTTCCAGGATCTGAAGAGACTTGGGATTGGGATGGTTTGGGTTTAGGCACGTGTTTTTGTCTTTTTGTCATGCTTCAGCCTGCTGTTTTGTTTGCTCCTATGAAACCCCGAGGGTGAGCACCTTGAGATCTCTGGGCAATGGACTTGGCAACATCAGTTCGCACATGAGCCCTATGGCCTTTGGCACTGTAAATTGTTTTGCTAAGCTTTTTCAGAGGCTATGGTTAGGTCGGTTAGGTTATTCATAATGGCAATGACATGGTGTCAACTTCATTGATGGTTGTTTTGGAGTTTACTTCCCAGACGCGACCCACATCGGCCAACAACAAACGGCTGGTCACTATACAGCGCTCCCGCGCCACATGCTTGCTTCGGCAAACGGCGATGAAGACAGTGATGTTTGGAGACCCCTCAAGTAAGTTCAAGAAATCACGTTGGATCTATGTTCATTATTGAGATATTCTTTGAGAGGTATCATGTTTTAATACATACGATTACATACCCATATTGCTATACAACTGACACTCCGTTGGTTGCTGTGTTTCTGTGTTTATCCAGTGACTGTTGCTTGTAGGCCAAAGAGATCTCTCAACGGCACGTGAAGGTTACCACATCTTTGCAGGACGGACTAACCAACGGCACCAGCGGTGGTTGGGGACGGGTGCGAGCTAAGCGCTGCAGATTGGCAGTTGGTTGAGCTTTGCTGTCGTCTTATACTTTTTGTGTCTTCTGCATATTTGTGAAGGGAAACAATCTCATATTTGTAGCATCTAATGCGTCTAACGTAGTTATTCTGAAGTTATTCTAATGAACCAAACTCGGAGACCCTGAGGTTGTCCCATTGACAACAGCCAGAGAATCACTTCAAGTCATATACAGAACTGAACAGAATAACTATGTCATAATATGATCGATATAGATAACATACAGACTTCTGTTTTTGTTGGCAGTGGGCAAGTGGACCCCAAAATGCCGAGCTCCGTCCGTGACTGCAGGAGCTTCAAAAAGCCCAGGAGCGAAGGTCCAATGCCTCAGATCGCACAGATAGGCCACATCCGGTGGATTGAGAGTAGATGGCAGAATTGGATAGAATTGGTCCCAAAAGTAGAGGTTGTTGAGATGAAGGATGAAAACGGATCCGGGCATGTTGGATGTTGGAAGGTTGTGCCATCTACTCTGAAAGCACCGTAGTTTGGCAGGGTTTTGACGAGTCACTCAGCCTGGTGAGCGGGACGAACGCACAAGCCACCGACCAAGGGAAAGTGAGAAGACCCAGGAGGACTGCAAGAAGTAGTGATATTAATCGGCTCAAGTGACCTCAGGATACCTCTGTCAGGTCATTTGAATATATTATATATTCAGATTTGTTTGGGAGTCGTTTTTCATGTTGATTTCACTTCACCACGTGTCCCACTTGCTGAAACCACCCAGGCCCTTCCAGATCCGCCCTTCAAAACGTACGAAGGGTGGTCCCACCGACCTTTTGAAGCTGAAACCTCAGACTTAGGAGCCCACTCAGCTGCGGAAGATGAAGTTGATTTTGCTGGATCAGGTGATGGACGTTGATCTTTTCCATGTGGGTGAATCCCCGGTCTACGGATATATATTTTTAATTGTTTGTTTTTTTGTAAATACTTTTCCTGTTCCTGGACAGCCAAATCCGGCTGCAGATGCTGAAGCTTCGGTGGTGTATTCTACTCTCCTGCACCAGGACGCACTGGGTTTGGCCCGCACAGCTGCCGCTGAGCGCTGTAGACGTGCGCGAGAGGAAGTGGCTGAGGCTCGTTGAACGAAAGTGGAGCAGTGGTTTGGTACATAAGATGTCAGCAGAGCTGGCTCCATGTGTTTTCTTTTCAGTATCCTTCCACATTTGCTTTTGCTTCTGCTGCTGCATGCTCTCAGAATAGAAAGATCCCCAAGGAAGCATCAAGTTAAGGGAAGGTAGATGAAGACCTGTGCCAAAATCTCTCTGTTTGCACGCGCGGTCATTTCCCAAATCGTTTTGGTCCCAGAATAGAGGCATAGAAAAGCCTTTTTAAGCCTTTCAGGGGAAGATTCTTCACCATGGGAGAAAGTCGGGAAGTGTGTGTTTGGTGTTTTTTTTTACTTGTTCTTTAAACCACTCGCTCTGTTCGACGAGCGAGTCGTGACATGTCGCAGACCATGTCGCTCTCCACAACGTCCGACGTCCGATGGGTCGCAAAGGCCGAGCAAAGACTGGGAAGTTTCCTTCGTCAATTGGGAGAGGAGCGCTGTCGTGGACTGGAGTTGGCCAGACTCCTCAGATCTTGGCCAGATCGATCTAATTAGTCTATGCGTTCAAGATGGCAAATGAAGATGCTCGTTTTTTTTCACATCGGAGGGAGGAGATGTAAACTGCAGAAGATCCAAGACTTCATGCGCTGAGGAGGGAATTCGTGTCTCGATCTCTGCTTCTTCCACGTCGAAAAGGACGACGAGTCGCGATCGCATCGAGTTTCGTCCTCGTCTCAACCTCGCCGCCACGAGGCTCGCGAGCTGACGGCTGCACGAGATGCTGCTGCAGCTGCAGGCGCGAGGGCGCGAGCTTCTAGAATGGCCCGGGGGAGATGTTCAAAAAGAAAAAACACATAAACTTAGCAGCTGACTTGGTCGAATTGTTCAAAGATGTTCAAAGGTTTTTGTTGAACGTTGGAGCTGTGTGACAGAACTCAACAGGAGCTTTGACATCTTCAAACGGATTGAATTGAACATCATGTTGACCCGCTTTGCAGGGGCTCCGCTTCAGACCAAGCCAGTGGTGTCCTTGGGCAGAGCGCTTTCGAACTTCTTAGTGACCTTAAAGAAGGTTTAAGAACCATCAAAGACCTTCAAGAGTCAAATGATTCCAATGCAAAGTGTCAATGTGAAGTCGTGGTGGACCCCCGCATAAGCCTCTGAATTTTTGTTAACAAAGCAGATCGATGTGGCGCGCTTCAGCGCCATGCGTCGCTCAAAAGTCCACGTCGCGTCTCGTCGCTGAACCTCCAAGGTGCGTCGCTCGCGGAGTGCTTCTTGGCGCTGACCCGCTGTGTCCACGGGAGAGGAATCAGCCCACCAGAGAAACGCAGCAAGGACCACTCGGCTACCGGCTACGGCTACAAGTCGAAATAGCCGAAAATGGACCAAGCGGAGAGGAATCCCAATTCAAACATATTCAAACCATATCCAGTTGGTGGGTTTCTCTATGTTTCTCTACTCCGTTTCTGCATCTTTCGAGGGGCAAGAAGCAGCTTTGGGCTGCCATAGTCTGAGGTATTGACTTCTTTGATAGCCATGAATGATGAATTCGTGGAACAGCCCGGAGAAACGCATCATCATTCTCTGCTCCTGCTGCCCCTTCCACACCATGGTGAATCTGGTGTCGTCCCAGCCAAGGCGAAATCGGCGAAATCGACCAAAGTCATGTCGTGGCCCAACACAGACTTGCCCGAAGCTCAGCGGCCCAGGCCGAAGAAAAATTCTTTGGGATGTCGTGATTGTTTCACATCACATGTTTTCGGCTGCTTGAGTCACTGGGTGCAATTGAGTCACTTGAGTCACTTGTGTTGCGTACCTTACCTTCATACCACCAGCTAGGCAAGAGACCTGGTCAGCCAGTGCCTTGCGCATGCAGCGGGAATTGGAGTTGCTCCAAAGGCCCCTTTGCTTCACCGCGACTCGACGAAGCATGGGACGCGGTGGGACGCGTGCGAGAGCCGGACGCAGGTGGAAGGCTGATGCTCTTTCTGTCTTGCAGCAGATGCAGGCAGCTCAACTGGCCCTGGCATGTTTGTTTTGGAAGCTGAGAAGAGCAGCGCCAGAACCGCCAGAAACATGTCGCCATGAAGCTGTGTCAGCACATGGAAGCACTGTTTGAAGCACAGTTGCGCATTTGCGATGAATCATGATGAATCACAGTCGTCCCAGACGTGACCCGAATCCCGTCGTCCCACAGCAATAGCAGGTCGATGTGTCCTCAGCACAGGAGAAAGGGTCTGGGAGGCTGCTATGCTTGTCTCAACTCCTGAATTCATTACATGGTCATGGTCATGGAGCTTCGTAGAGTTGATCTGGTTGAATGAGAGCATGAAATAGCATAGAACATATTACAGTATCCAGTCCGCATTTGCCAGGACAAATATCGCCAGCAGCTACAGCAGAATCAAGCTTTGCAGAAGCGGCTGGAGAACATGGGCCAGATGCCTGGTGTTTCTTGAGAATGCGGTTCGCTGCAACATGCATCGGAATGGAGACTAGATGACATCATATGACCCAACTGTATGTCATCAACAAACTCTATGGGAAACGGATGTGATGAAACTAAAAACATATACACAAAACGCAAAACTCAAAATGCAATTTCACTGCGTTTTGTTTCTGATCAAACATGCCCTGAACATGTTCCTCATTGTAAGCCCTCAGAGACCAATGAAAGGTGTCTTCCCGGCCTAGTGCCAGGAGTCTTACTGATGCTCCCAAGCATGTCACATTAAGCGGCAAAGAAACGCCACCTCAGTTTAAGTAACATGTTGCAGGCACCACCCCCACCTTTCCTTCATGTCCAGGTGGCCCTGTACCTTCAACAGCAGCGTCAGAAGCCGAAAACGCAGTCCGACGCAGTCGAAAGACGCGAAACGACGGGACGTGACCATGGGGGACCCGCAGTGTCCCGCAAACCGGTGGGCGCGCTTACCATCAGGCACAACCCTTACCACCTTGGCTGTAGGTGATAAAACTGTGAACATTTGTTTGGGTCTATTCAGCGCACAATTGGTCAGTCCTTTCACGTTCTTCCAGCTGTTAGAACTTTGATCACGCACATGTCCCAGCGAAAGCGAACGTGTTGGGTGCGATACTTCAGTGGCGAGCTTTTCAGTACACTGAGGTTCTAAACAGCCAGCATTGCCAATGACAAAAAGGGGTGCGATGCTGGCTCGTGTGATGCCAGCCTCGCCCATGCTAGCTCGTTCGCTTGCTCGTTTGCTTGTTGCTTTGGACCCAAGAAATTCAAGCTAGACATAGCGAATCGACCAAGTCGACCAATACTTCTTTGCGAAGAGACATGATCATTGATCATGTGTGCGCTGCTTTCACTGGCTTCAGCTTAGCGATTTTGCGAAGCCTCTTGGCACTGAACCGCTCGACAGTTACCACACGCAAGCCTCGTTGCGTCCAAAGCTCAGAGCCGTCGCGGTGGTTCTTCAGAGCGGTTCGTTGGGGTGATCGACCGCATGTGTGTGTGTTCTGTACGCCGCTCCGCTAAGGTCCCAGCCCCCTGAAGGCATGGCAGGCTGGCAGTGGCATCCTGGCATGTGGTGGCAGCGTTGGGTTCTTTCCAGATGAGCAAGATGATGATCTTTATGCAGCTCAGGGGAGAGCTCAACTGCTGCACACTCATGGTCTTTGGTCTTCTTGTCTTGCTGAGGTATTTCCTCTCCGTGCTCATTCTGAGACGATCTTGCGTTGCAGACTCTTGCGAAGGTGACAGCTTCTTCGCAAGATGAGTCAGGATAGTCAGGTCGAAGGTGACAACCGCCGGCTTCTTTTCGCACGCAGCTGTCGGATTCGCTCTCTATCGGATTCTCGCAGCTCTCTGATTCAACTGCATCACTTCCATTCCAACCCAGGGCAAAAGTAAGTCATCCCCAGGGCGCCCAGGGGATGGGGTCCTTCAACCTGGTACTTGTAGGTCTGGTGCACCATGTGTGAATGACCCGGTCCACGTAGGTTAACCCTGGTCAGTATCCTGGTGCCAGTTCCGCACAGCCAACTGGAACAAATTGTGTTCATGTGTTTTCACGCCAACCGTTTTCCAAGGTTGCCTGGATCAAAACTCTTTGCTGCAGACTGCAGACCGCTCACGGCAGTTGTCCACCGAAACTGGAACCTGCTCGGTTGGTGCGCATGTGACATGACAGCATTTCATGCGCCCAAATCCGGAAGTGCCAAATGCAGTCATGACTAGGCTTTCTTTGAGGGGCATTTCAGGGCTGTGCATGACCTCCATCAGAGAAGCATCCAATTCAGGTCAGCCAGAAGAAAACATGTTTCGCTATCGGTGTTTTCAGTGGCTAGAATTGACACCTACACTACGCCCATGTAGTCTTGGGCCTTGGGAACATGTTGCTTAGTATTTTTTCATTGTAGGTGGTCAGTGCTGATGATGATGATGATGATCATCATCATCATGATCATGATAATGATCATGATTATGAGTATTATGATTATTGTTATTATGATCAACAACACGGCGTGGACAGGACAAAAACACTATTTCGATGGGCGTGGGCTGCATCCAATTTCACTGGTTCAAATCGAGTCCGGTTGATTTTGTCGCCTCATTGGGTTGATTTTGTGCCCACCTGGTGAGAATTTTGGGTCGGCCCACGTCGCACTTCGATGGCTCCTGAGGTGGCCTGCCCGGGCTCTTCAGCCTTCTGCGTTGCTTGTCGTGTCGGTGGAGCCGCACGGACTGGCTGGGTGAACCGTAGAATCATCGTCGATCAAAGGCTTTGGATGGGAGGGTCATGACTTTCTCTACGTACTCGTAGTTGTTTGAAATGATCAAAGGCTTTGGACGAAACTCGTTGGTTTTGTTTCGGATAAACACCTTATAGACATTCCATGTGAATTTACATACATTGACCCCTGATCCCTGAAACCACCCCAATGAAGGTAAACATGCCATAGTGCGACAGTCTCAGACATGGTTTGGAGCCCTCTCATGAGATTTCATGGAGCGGCCCTGCAAATGGATGAAGACCCGCACCTCAGGCTGGCAATGAATGCTGCCCTGGCGCCCCAACCTTTCCGTGCCCTTCTGCGTCGCCAGATTTCGTAGGGTGTCGCGTGGAGGCAGTTGAGAACATGTTTTTTTTTGCAGAAGTTGTTGCTGTAGACTGCCTTAGGCTTGCTTGCTTCGCAGATCTTCGCAGTGTGTTCTTGTGTTGCACTGTTGCACTGACTTGCATGGATAAAACTACTACAGCACTTGGGAGCATGAGAACTTCTGGAAAATGTGTCTTCGATTGAGTGTTCAAACAGCGAACTCATTACTGCTCCACATGCTGATCCACTGTATGCAAACGATGGACGGGTACCAAAACAATTTAAGGCAGGCTATGTTTAACCCAAAATGTCTTGGAGGCACCAAAACTCATCAGCAGCATGGAATGGGCAACGCCGTGATGACTGCCGTGATGTATGTGTGAGGATTTGAGCAATCACAGACAGGGGGATAAAAGTGTGAAAGTAATATATCCGAGGGTATATAGTTTAGAAGGAATGTTTGTTCAGCCTCCCAAAAGGTAGGAATAGAATTGAAACGTCATTGTTCCGAAGTCCCTGTTTTTCTTCCCAACACTCCAGTAATGAGCTTTCCTGTTGAAAGATCAAGTTGGTGTGTCTAGTCAGGGCCTCGGGAAGGCTCGTTGGTTTGGCGGTATTGCAAAGTATTTGCAGTACTACTACGAGACTTCGGTTACACCATGCCTAGGCATCACCAATCAGATTGTGTAAGGGCCTTTAAGGGTATTCACTCCTTTAGTATCCACCGATATTCACCACCTCTCTACTTGCACCTAAATGTCACATTTGATCTTTTGATTTGATGTATAATAACATGCGACAGCATGCAATCTGTTGCTCTCAAGCACTTGATTTCCTGGCAAAACCAGACAACATTGAAATAGGGGTGACCTGGGAATTGACGCCGATGGCAGGCTGAGGTGAACATAGAAATCAGAAATACATGTTCAAGTCCCTACCTAATCAGAGGCCTTTTCCACCTCAACCAGTTCTTCTAACATGTCGATCTCCCTTTCTACCCCCAGGGCCAACAGCTGAGAAAGACTCCACGGCCGTTCAGGAGTCGTCCCCGGTTCGCTCGCTGCCCCCCCGCCCGTCGCGGGGCGACGTCGCGAGCCCAGGTGGATCGACGAAGAAGCTCTTCAGCTGCACCGGCTCGAAGCCCTCCGAAGCTCCTGCTCCTGCTCCTGCTCCTGAGGCGAAGGAGGTTCAACAGGCGGAGTTCCGCGCCAGAACGCGGCGAACCGCGCGGAGAGTCGGCGGGATGCAGCCGCGCCGAATTTTCCGCGCATGGGTGAAAACGCGGGATGTTTCAACGAAGGTTGAAGCATGTTTATGACCGTGGCCGGTCAGAAGCATCAAGTATGACCTTGGGCGATGCCATTCCGCCGTAGTTCTGTGGGGGAGTAGTTGGAAGTGATGGACTGCAAGTGGTGTTTGAACGAAGGGATACTTCCCCGCCTCCGCTTCGAAGACAGCACCGTGACCAGACACCGTGGCGGACCACATTCGTGCGGACCGTGCGTGCTGTCCTCGAGAACCCAAACGCTCCATGGGACTGCCATACCAGGGGCCCTCAAGACCATGAACAATAAAGGTGTTCACATACAAAAACCATCAAAAACCCGTCTTTTTGCTGGGGAAAAACATTATTTTTTTGGGTGATTTGTATTGGTTTGTGGGGCCCCTGGTAAAGCCTACATTGGGGAATATTGGGGTGGTTTGGGAGGTCAATGTAGGCATATATTCCATACATGGAGTCTATGGGTAATGGTCATACTTGACACATTTTGACACTATAAAATACCCGGCAAGTGACCCCAGTGGCACTCCACGGCCGGAGTGACCTAAAACCTCTCAGCAGTCCGTGCGGGGGTTGTCCGTAGCGCGCTAGGCATCGGGAGATCTTCTGCTCACCATGCATTTGGTGAACCGTGAATGGGCCGATGGCGTGATCTTCTGCCGTGGACCTGCCAGCGAACTCAGACGCTCTGCCTGGCAGTCGAGTCGGGGGTCGCAAACACAACGACCGGGTGAGGGTTTGTAGGGTCACCGAAGGATTGGGCGTATGGCTTTGCAATTTTGAAGAATTCCAGATGACTTAAGATGAAGGATTCGGAGTTTGTGATGTGTTTTTGGATTGCAGATGGTGCAGGTCTTGGTTTGGTTCAAGACAATCACCAACCAGACGTTTCGCTCCATCCATTTCAGCGCTTTCGGCGCTTCGACGGAGCTCGGCGCGCCAGTCTCGCTGAGGTAACATTTGGCTTGATGCAGCAGGGACCCAGAGCGTGGCCGGATCAGCGATTGATTGCTCCAATCCCGGTTCAGCCGCGGCACAGAAGTGGGGACATGGCGTCACTGGGATGAGAATAGAATAGAAAAAGATGGGTTTGGCCGTCCAAAACTTGCAGAAATCTCACGTTATATAAGTGCTTTCAACACGGCTCAAATGGTCTTGCTTTCCTTTGGATGCAACAATTGATATATCATGATATATCGATCGTTTAATTTTTGTTTTTGTTTCGAGATGGGGTGACACGGTATATATCTCTCGCCTGAGGAGGCCCATTTAGGCGTGTCTATGTTGAAATGGAACATGAATTTTGGATGAAATACAATGAAAGAAGGATTGCAGAAGCCTCCTTTACACAATCTTCCCAATTTTGCATCCTCGATGCATCTCTAGAATGGTGAAAACGAGGCAGTGAACAACAACTCCAACACAAATGGTCTCTCACCTGTTGGTCTCTTTGGGAAGAAAAGAGACGTGTCGAGTCAACAGCTTGGCAGTCAACATCTATCGTTTCACATCGTCTCAAACACACCCAGCAACGGTCCAAATGTCGTTCGTCCAACCCGAGTTGACGGGTTTTCCTCGTTTCGAACCAGGACCTCGGTCGACTGCTCCTTCCGAGGTTCCGGAGCTCACGACCCTGTGCTTGGGCCTGAAGCAATCGGAGACGACACTTGGAAGAGAAGGGCTTAAAACGAAAACAAAAAGGCGAAAACTGAAAAAATGATGTGGATTTGCTAGGAGATCTCTTTATAGACAGATCTCTTTGCGTATCTTGTTTTGACGATTCATTTCTTGCAGTTGTGTGTGTGTGTCACCCCCTGTATCTAAGGGTTCCACCTCTTCTGTCACTTTCAACTTTTTTGAGCAGGGGGCAGAGGGATCTCCAGTTGTGGCCTCTGCCAACGAAGCTCCACACTGGATGATCAGGAAAACGTACCTGCGATCAACCGTTGCTCACGCTGTTCCACTCTTGGTTTGTTTCCATGGTCCTTCTGCTACCACCCCGAAACAGGTTTCTCCGCCACTTTCAGCAGCCGCGTTTTTTGCAGCTTGTCGCCGCAGTTGTGCACAAACCACTTGTTAAACATCTTCAATTGATCGGACTCCTCACCTTACCGTTGAGCCATTCCTTTCCTCGGGGAATTGAGTTAACTGAATACAATTGTCAGAGTGTGTTTCGCTCAGCCGTCCCACTCGGGTGCTGAGTGTGATCCCCGTCCTCACCACCTTTCACAGGAACTCCACTGGAAGTCACCTCCACATCCACCGAATTAACTGCCACAACGGCCGCCGGGCCTAACCACGGGAACTGACAGTCTTGCAGCGCTTGCATTTTTCTGCACTGAGATGTTTGACGGCTAAGTATTCACATGTGCATGTGCTGCTAAGTATTCACAGGCCGGACAAATTAACTGTGCATTTTTTCCCCCTCCCTACCCCTGGGCCCCTTTGCTACCCCACCCGCTACTCGGGAAACAGAAGGAAATCGCACTCAACACACTTGTGTGTTGGTGCCTTTCCTTCTGTTTCTCCTAGCCTATTGCTAGCTACCCGGGCGGTTTAAGACAAATGTCCCGCTCGCGCTCTACTTTCATTTAACTAAGTGGGCCTCGTAACTACCCCTATCTTTCTTTCTTGCCCTCTTAGTCTGCTTTTGTTTTGTTTGCTTTGTCTGTCTTTCTAAGGCTTTTTAGGTGGCTATTAGTTTTTCGCAGCGCCACTATTGGCGCTTTCTGTACAAAGCTCCACCTTCAACGTTCTACCGTTCTACACACTTGCGCCGGAATCGGCTGTTTGTGTGTGTCACCCCCTGTATCTAAGGGTTCCACCTCTTCTCTCACTTTCAACTTTTTTGAGCAGGGGGCAGAGGGATCTCCAGTTGTGGCCTCTGCCAACGAAGCTCCACACTGGATGATCAGGAAAACGTACCTGCGATCAACCGTTGCTCACGCTGTTCCACTCTTGGTTTGTTTACATGGTCCTTCATGCTACCACCCCGAAACAGGTTTCTCCCCCACTCTTAGCAGCCGCCTTTTTTGCAGCTTGTCGCCGCAGTTGTGCGCAAACCACTTGTTAAAACATCTTCAATTGATCGGACTCCTCACCTTACCGTTGAGCCATTCCTTAATGAGTTAACTGAATACAATTGTCAGAGTGTTAGTTGTCATTCTTTGCCAAAAGTTATATACATGTGTGAGTGAGTGCATGAGTGAAAGTATGTGTACTGTTTCCTTAATCGATTTACTTTCGCTGTTTGCTTCTAGGACATTTGTTGCTGCAAGTGCGTGGTAGTTCTTCAACTGTTTTGGTTCAACTATACTGACGCTGACGACGCATTCTGACGCCACATTCGCACACAATACCCCTGACGACGTATTCTGGCGACGGTTCCTTGTTCAAATCCTTTTTCCTTCCTCGCTACAGCACCAAAAAACCACTCCCTTTGGTACACAAAAGAAGTAGCGCGCGTCCGACCAGTGAGTCAGCGCGTCCGACTCGTCCACCAACCACACGGCAGGATGGACCTCTATTTCACCGAGGGGTCCAATTGGCCTTCCGGCACCTGTTGGTTTCAAGATGCTGAATCCAACAAGGTGCAGTCGAGCCTTGGCATCGAAATGGTATTGGCCAGCCGTCAGTCATATAGGTCAGAGAGGACCCCGCGCCAGTTCGAGGCTAAGATGCTAATGTACTTTGAATAGTAGTTTGAATTGATTTTTATGGGAGACGAGCTTTCCGAGCCTTTCCGAAAGGTTTGTACCCTAATATGACCTATGTTTCTTGCAAGCGTTGGTTCGTGCCTGAAGTCATAGGTCTTCACCCTCCCCCACAAAAAAAGAACAACAAAGAACAATAGCACCCAAGAGAGACATGTTTGTTCCCCTTTCCTCAACGGCACGGTTGCGCAACCTTGCGCCGCCTCGTCCTCGTCCTCGCCGAAAGCGGAGGTTGTCCATGGGACCGATGTACCAAAGTCAAGTGGAGTTCACCATCACGACCGTGGTCTCCTGGGACTTGACCTCAGTGGAAGGCGTCTCAGGTGGTTTGACCATGAACTACACCAACAACAACGGACAAGCGGAAGATGTGGTCGCCATCCCCGGCAAGTTCAAAGGTGAGACGACATGCGGATGGGGGATTTTGTTGGAGGATGTTGGGGGGTGCACGGCGGCTGGATTGTTTGTGGGGTTGTGCATTTCAGGATTGTTGCCTAGCCTGCCAAAACTCTGTTGGCACAGCCCAAATAGGGAAGGCACTTATATCTTCTTCCAGTTGCAGGGGACAGACTAATCATGCAGGGTTGAAGATAGATGTGCACAAGAATATGTGGGGAGTATGACCAGAGAGTGGAGAAGATGGCCACACATCTTCCACGATAAACATCTTCCACGCAGTGCAGGTTTTTTCAATACATCTTGGAAGGAGGTAAATCTGGCTGGGTTTCTGACCACCGCCAGGCTCCCAGTTGTCCATCACGAAGGCGCCCGGCGCTGGATTTCCAACGGTGCTCGCCGACAAGTGACTTGGTCCAGCGAGTGTGACCTGCAAATCAATGGCTGGGGGTCATGGCACCACCAGGTGGATCCGATCCGGTTCTTCCCCATCCCGGACCGGGTCATGCGCGGTGTCCGGATGGGTCGAGCTCGGGCTCCAGGTGGGTCACGACCCGCCCAAAAACTGGAGCTCTTGAAGGCTTGGCGAAAAATCTGGTCTCCGGCCTTCAGCTGGTTTGGCTCGTGGATGTTGATCGGATCACCTCAACGGATCGTTCTGAACACAGCAGAGACAGTCTGACAGCGAAATCCGAAGCTTTGATGGACATGACAGGGCTCCTTTTGACAAATCACATTCGTCACAGGTTCGTTTCATGGTGACACTAGCACTTCAACAGAGAACGGCTAGGAATGGCTAAGGCATCGCTTTGGAGCTTGCGCCTGCACACAATATTCACCAACTCTTGCGAGCTGCAACAACGACGCTTGCTTCACTGGCTGCCCTGGTGCATTGGCAGACAATCCTTGCGGTGACTTGGAAGCGATGATACATATGGATCCACGGATCCACGCCACGATAGGAATTATAGATTATGTTAATATGGTTTAATTGAACATGGGATGTTTTTTTTTCCACATTTAGAAGTATTTAGAAACTTAGTTTCATTGCGTTTGACTCATGACGGTTTTCTGTGTTTTTGGTGGCGGACTCCTGCATCTCGGCATGCAAGATGAGCGACCAAAACGGTGTACTTGTTGTGTTTGGTGCCCAAAAGACTGTGATTTCCAGAAGGCTTGACTTGACACACCCATTGACCGTTCCTGTGTCTCAAGTTTCTCCAGCAGACTGGACCTTTGCCGCTCACCGCGCTTCTTACGTCCAAAGACAGGTCAGCATCGATGCCGCCAATGGTATGCCAAAAGCTATGAGACAGATGAAAGCTACTGCGGATGGCTCTTTTCGAATGATGCGGAGACATACTGCTGGGCCATGGACGTGACCTGCCCCACACGTCAAGTGAATGAATGGATGTTCATGATTATTTAAGGGCTTACGCCCGACAGCCGGCCAGGGGCCCAAGCAAAGGGGAGGGGGCAGGGAAAAAGGGCACGGGGGCGTTGTTGTTGTTGTTGTTGCTGTTGTTGTTGGTGGTGGTGAGGTTCTCGAGGTTGTGGTTGTTCTTGTTGTCGTGGTTGTTGATGAGGTTGTTGTTGTGGTTGTTGTTGTTGTTGTTCTTGTTGGTGTTGTTGTTGTTGTTGTTGTCGTTGTCGTTGTCGTTGTTGTTGTTGTTGTTGGTGAGGTTCTCGAGGTTGTGGTTGTTCTTGTTGTCGTGGTTGTTGATGATGTTGTTGTTGTTGTTGTGGTTGTTGTTGTGGTTGTTGTTGTTCTTGTTGGTGTTGTTGTTGTTGTTGTTGTTCTGTTCTTGTCGTTCTTGTGGTTGTGGTGGTGGTGGTGGTTGTGGATGTGGACGTGGGTGTTGTGGGGGTGGTGGTGGGGATGGTGGTTGTTGTTGTTCTTGTTGTTGCCCCAGCACCCGCCCACGATGCCGACGAAGCACCCCGGTGAGGCACGCATTTCCAGCATTATTTGGGCCTATTTTGAGCCATGTTGACCCATCTTGCGCCCCAAGAGCGAAAAAGTGGAAGAAGCAGAAAACACTGTAAAACACACGATTCCTGTGGGGTCGGCGGTAGGGGCGGGACTCCACTCTCTCCTTCGGAGAGGAGAGACTGCCTACGGCAAAGACACGGCCATGGCGGGGCCCCGTGGGCCCCTGGCCGGATTTAAGGGCTTGCGCCCGACAGCCGGCCAGGGGCCCAAGCAAAGGGCTTGTTGCAGTCGTGTAGTGTTCTTGTCGTTGTTGTTGTTGTTGTTGCTGTTGTTGTTAGCCCAGCAGCCGCCCACGATGCAGACGAAGCACCCCGGTGCGGCACGCATTTCCAGCATTATTTGGGCCTATGTTGGGCCATGGTGACCCATCTTGAGCCACAAAGCCGGAAAAATGGAAGAAGCAGAAAACACTGTAAAACGCGGGACTGCGCAGGGGTCGGCGGCAGGGGCGGGACTCCACTCTCTCCTTCGGAGAGGAGAGATGCCTACGGCGAGGACACGGCCAGGTGGGGCCCCTGGCCGGATTTATGAGGCTTACGCCTGACAGCCGGGCGCCGGCCTATTTGGGTTTGGGTATGTGCAGGGCTGGGTCCTGTCTCTCTCTCTTTGTCTCTCTGTCTCTCTCCCTCTCTCTCTCTCTCACACACCTGTCTCTCTCTTTGAGACTTGGTGGAGCTATCTGGTGCGCATCTTGGCCGTAGGTTGGGCCAAGTTGAGCCCATGCGGTCTATGTTGGGCACATCTTGGGCCCAAGTTGAGCCTATGTTGGGCCTAGGTCGGCCTATGTTACGCCTACGTTGGCCTAGGTTGGGCCTATGTTGGCCCCATGTTGGCCTATGTTAGCCCTATGTTGAGCCATCTTGGAGGCTATGTTGGGCATATGTTGGCTATCTTGGGCCTATGTTGGGGATATGTTAGGCAACTTCTGTGCCCAACACCCACGAAATGTCGATTAAGCCTGTCCGCGCGGCACGCATAACTGACACCACGGGCACCCTGTCGTGGACGCCGAAGGCCACGAAACACTGCAAAAAACGATGTTTTTGAACAATTTTCGAACATCCAGCGCAAGATACATAAAAATCTGTCGACCGGATTCGACCGGGGGTATCCCGGCGGTCCAACAAAAGGGTCGGCGGCAGGGGGCGCGAGCGTATATAACCTTCGGTTACCAACCGAAGGCCTCCGGCAAGGACACGGGCGCGTGGCCGGCGCCCGGATTGTAAGGGCTCCGCCCCCTGCCGCCGACCCCGGGGATCTATATTTCAGCCGTGAAGCTGGAAAACAGGACAGAAGTCCGCCTATACGCAACGCAATAGATCAATTCAGTTGTTCTTTTATATATAAAAGGAGATTTCTCCCCATTGAGGTGTGAGTTAAAAACATTTGGGTCTTAACATGTTATGTACAGGTGGTTGATGGTGATTGTATTGTCAGTGTTGCAAGCTGTGCCAAGCTCTTTTCAGCGCGTTCGCTCAAAGTCCATCATCCTAAGCTGGACTCGGCCACACCATCACACAGGAATCATTGTATTGGACATTCAGCAGTGTTTGAAAAATTTCAGTGTGGAGCTTGTTGGTAAAAGGGCGCAAGCCGCCTAACCAGCTTCAAAATCAAGGACAAACATCCTTGTCCATCCAACGAATCCCTTAGATCAGCCTCACCACTGCTCCCTGAGCAAGATCTAGATCAGACTTCAAAAAATAGAGCGGCTTGCCTTGGATAAAGACACGGAGCCACGGTACACGACACTTTTCAGCCACGGACACGGAGCCACAGCTTTCCACAATCTAATTCGAGACCAAAAATCGCCCGAAAG